TGAGCCCCGGGGTTGCAGCTCAGCCCCACGCCCACGCCGTCCCCTCCCAAACCTCCGCCCGCAGCCCTGGGCCAGTTTCCTCCTCCCAGGGTGGCCAGTGGCGTCCCACGACTCGGCACTTTGGTCCTTTCCATTTTCAGAGCACTTGGAGAGACGGGGCTGCCTCGGCTCTCCCGCGGTCCCCTTTGGGGGGGGGAGCGTCGGTGTCCCCGTGGCGGGGGGTGGGCTGAGGCACGGGGGATGCCGGGGCTGGGGTGCCCGGCTGTCCCCTGCGCTGGGGTCCCACCGTCCCAGCGGCGGGAGGGGGGCTGGGCAGCTGCCTCCCTGCACCCCGGGGACCACGGAGCACCCGAACGTAGGCGTTGGCCAGTGCCCCTCTTCTGCTGTACTAAAGACAACTGACTACAAAGGTGGAGTTTATTGGTCTTACTACGTCCTCTCGTCCCTAGCATGGAGAGTAAGAAATCTCTAGCACCGTAAACAGCCATTCCCTGACTCATTTCAAGTGGTATAAGGGGGTGTGTGTGCATATATCGTTTCCACGTGCGCATTTCTGTGCGCGTGTGCACGGGCGAGTGCACGGCCACTGCCAGGGAGGACAGTAATGCAGCGGGAGGGGATTACAGGAACCCCAGGAGACAGGCTTTGCAGAGCCAGGGCCAGAGAGCCACGCTGGGCTAAGCGAAAGCAAGCAAGCTGAAGTTTACATTTGAAAAGGAGCAGCCACACCGACCTACCCCCGCGGTAGGATGCATGCAATCGTGAACTGCCACCGTCCCCCGGAAGGTCAACTCAAAGGTAACCCCGCGTCTGGGTGAGAGCAAGGTTTTTTTAATGACTCAGAAATAATAAGACAAGGGATAGGCTCAGTCCAGAAGCGGCCTGAGGGGCCAGCATCCCTGAAAACCCCCCGCTTACGGACAGAGCTGAGCTCTTTGCTGTGAGCGATAACATGAGCGCAGAGCTCAGGCTACGAGGCCGGCGGTCCCAGCTCCGGCGCAGCCTCACTCACGGCCCGGCTGTCGGTGCCAGCTGGGAACTCGCTGAGCTTCAGCTCCTCTGTCTCGCTCGAGTCGGGAGAGCTCTTGGGAGGGTGCACGCCCGCCCGCCCGCACTGAAGCGTCACCGTCTCGTCTGTCCTCCCTCACCCGACTGCAAACGTTCGTGCTCCGGGCAGGGGTGCTGCCGGCCGCCTCAGGGGTGCTCTCCCTGCCTCATGTTCACGTGAAACGGGGCTGGTAACGGTCCTGGCGCAGCTTGATTCATAAATATCGATGGGGATCGATGAAGAACCTCGAGCCCTACCGTGAGGAAGGTGGCGCTGGGAGCTGGGGGGCTGCACGCCGTGTCCACCACCGCGGTACGTGGGAGCGGTCCGGGAATGAGGGAGGCTGGGATGGCAAGGGTGTTAATGAGGCTACTTAATTAGCCTCAACTGAGGCATGAAGTATGCTGCTGCACACAACCATTGGCAGCCCTGGGAGATGGAAAGGCATGAAATAACCGTCATCCCGGACCGTGCCCCGGCGCTGGACGCCCCTCGTCCAGCCGAACC